AAGAGGTACTAATTTACTGTTGTAGTTTGTTGCCCTCATCTTTTTTCATGGAGATTCTAATACTTGGTTGATTAGATTTTCGGGCACTATTATTGGGTGGAAGATATTTCTCCTCACTGGGTAAATTCGAGCTGGCGATCACTCAAGGTATTTTCTGCTGTCACTTTGAAGTTGTTTGCCTTCATATCTGGAGTGATTGTGTCATTAATCATATCTACTTTTCTTTCTATTGTGGTACAGGTTCAGTGGGATGAACCTGCAGCTGTTCCAAGACCAGATAAGGTTTCACCATGGGAAGTGGAACCTTTTCTGGCTCCCGTTACTTCATCTTCAGTTCACCTCCCGTTGTGAAGACCAAGCGACCTCGGCCACCCAGTGAAATTCCAGATCTGGTGAGAACTGATTTTGTTTAACTCTTCTCAATTCTTATAGAGATTGCGTAAATTTCTCTTGACTCTACGTTGTGATTACAAACTAGACACAACTTCCACTGCCTCTGCCTTCTGGAATTCTGAGCTGATGCAACCTGATATTAACCGACTCGGAGCTATGGCTGAAAGCAATAGGAGTGAAAATTCTGGCATGTGGCATCACAATCAAGCTGAAATGAATAGTAAAAGCAGCAGCAACACTCCTTCAAGAAATCAAACAGAAGGGAGTTGGCTATCGTCTCCCCATTCAACCGGTCCTCCGCAACTGTTGCAGGACACAACAGATGATGGCAAGAGCGTCTCTGCTTGGCCTGTTCACTCAGTTCATTCAACCACTCACTTGTTGCGACAGAACAATGATCATCTGCTTGAACAAGCTGGCAAGGAGAATAAAGTTGAGATTGCTACAAGCTGTCGGTTGTTTGGGATTGATCTTATTGGTCATTCCCAAAATTCAACTGCGATGGAGAAGGCACCTACACATGCAGCTGGTATACTTAATGGCCCTTCTGAAAGTCATGTCAATGCCTTGTCTGGAACTGATTCAGACCATAAGTATAACATCTCACGGGCTTCCCATGAGGGAAAACAAGAACAGCTGCAAGTAAAGGAGACTCAGAGCAAGCAAATATGTTCCAGAAGTCGCACCAAGGTTTCAAATGCAGATTACTTATATTGATAATAATTTCAATATTTTGTGGTTAGTAAAAAATTCTGATGCTTTCCGCTGGTGTTCCAAACCTGCAAAAGGTTCAAATGCAGGGGGTCACAGTGGGTCGTGCTGTGGACTTGGCCATTTTGGATGGTTATGATCAACTTATAGACGAGTTGGAGGAGATGTTTGACATAAAAGGACAACTTAAAGATAGGAAGAAATGGGAAATTGTCTTCACTGATGACGAAGGGGATATGATGCTTGTGGGTGATGATCCATGGCCGTGAGTATTCCTCTGAATATAATCTTAATCTTATGTCTCGGATCTTTATACTGCTTAGCATATTATACACAATAATGCAAACCTCTCACAATGCTAATATCTTCCTGTTGAATGCTGTTACTTTCTTGCAGTGAATTCTGTAATATGGTCAGAAGAATCTTCATTTGTTCCAGCCAGGATGTGAAGAGGATGAGTGCGGGAAGCAAATTGCCTATTTCATCAATGGAAGGTGATGGGACTGTAATAAGTGGGAGCACAGCTGAAACCTGAAACTAATGTTGATCTTTGTTTGGTCTCTGTTGTTGTAGTTCTTTGTGGGAAGGAAGTTGATTTATTTAGACGTAGGAAATTTGTAATTTCGACATGAAGGACATTGGCAAATTGAAGCTCAAGTTTTAGTGCTACTCGAGACTCCAGGCATGATGGGACTTTTAAGATCTGAAATAATAAAGTGCGTTTGTGGGAGAAAGTAAATAATGTAGGCTCTAGTGTCTGTGAAATATGCATGTTCATGTTAATTCTTATGATAATGATGGCCGGGAGAATGTGAATCCTAGCTGGTCAAAGGTCTATCTTCCATAGGGCAAGTCTAACCTGGTCTGGTGGATGTTTATTGCTGTGGTTTGAAGTTTGACATATAGTTGGGATCATTCAACCTGAATGGTCAAGGTCACGCTCAACAAACATTAAGCCTTGCGCCATCTCCCTCCCTCTACCCGGTGTAGGTGTAGGTGTAGGTGTAGGTGGCAACCAGGTTATGGTTTTTGTTGTAAACTGGTGTCTCTTCAATTTGAAACTTTTTTTTGAGAGAAAACTGGATACTATATTAACCGACAGAAATACACACAGAAACAGACCCTGAAAACCAAGCTAAATACGGCCCTACCTGAGGTCTTTCATCACTTACCGCCCCTCGAATAAAAGGTTGTTGAATTTGAAACTTCCATTTCTGTTTAAGCGTGGGTTCGTGGCTTTGTGCCTTTAAATCGGTTTTTGCCCCATCTTTCGGAATCCCTAAGAATGTTGATCAATATTTTTCTTCTAATGATGCAGCAGCACCCAAAAATCAAAACAAACTATTTACGAGTTTTTGGGTCTAGTAACACTGCTTCTGAAGTTTATGGTTTGACAGGGTTGGTGTTGTTCATTAGAACTGCGACATTGCAGGATTAAGCTATAAACCATACGAGAACCTGGATGCTCATTTTCCTGTTATGCATGGGTTTTAGTTAAGCAATTGATCACATTGTCAGAATGTTTTGTGGTTGAAAGATTTGTTGCGGCCATGTCCAAAGGCTCTGCCGCCATAATTAATGCGTCAGCGCAAATAGAGGGAAATATTATGCGGCTGCCCCTCCCAGCCCACTCCTAGTTCTTAGGAGAAGAAGAAGGCCTATGAATCCATCATCCGTCCCTCAACTTTGTCTTTTATCTAATCTCATGTAATTAATTGAAAATGAGTATGCATTATTAAGTAAGGTCTTTATCGTGTCTAGGGGTAGGGCATAGGTTATGTGAGGAGGGTGCTTTTCAGGAACGCTGCCATGCCCGAGAGAGACAGGGCAGCCTCGTCCATCGTTATCACCATTCTCCCTGCTTCCCCTGCCTTCGGTTTCACCTCTGCAACGTCCCATCTTATAGCTACCAAATCCCAACGCTTGACACCTTCTTTTCTTTTTATAATTGCCTTTTGGGGCAATTTCATCATGTGAATAAATACTAATTAAAAATTTAAACAACTCAACTTTTCCTGTTCCAAAATTCATATTTTCTCATATACAATCCATTAATCCTTTATACAAATAATATTTTGTGTGAATTATTTTTTATAACTTTTTTGTGCAATTCATCATTCAATTAATTTTTCAACTAAGGATTTATTTCTAGTCTCCCCTATCATCATTCAAATTTTGAATTTTTTTATAATTTAAAATGTTTTGATGCTTATTAGTTGTAATTAAATGAGTTTTTTTGAAACTAATTTGGGTTTCCCTACCTACTAAACAAACATGAAGGGCCTTCTCTCTACTTTACATAATCTCATTACGTTTTTCAACTTTTATTTTATAGCATATCAATTAATCATGACTTTTAACTATCATATCAAATAGTACCTCTAGTCCTAATTATAAGAGCTAGTTGACTAATTTGAAGAAATTAAAAAAATAAGTTAAGTTAGTTATTTGTAATAAATAGATGTTGCCTTTTTTAAAATATCCTTACTAATCAAGTGTGTTTGCTAAAACTACTATTATTAGAAGGACTATCTTGAAAAAAAAAAGCACAAACATTAGAGACAAAGTGAATTGGGGTTTTATATTTATGATCAAAATAAAAATTAAATAAGATCTTATATTAAAAATCGGAAGTAGTAGTTCAACAGTCATATATAACGTCTTATGATTCTGGCTTCCAAAAGTTGCGCGTGAGAATCGGGGAGCTCATGATTAGAGACTATGATTCCATTACTTCTCAAAGACGCTAATCCCAAGGCATTTTTTAGTTAAAGCGTGCCCATTCCTGATACAAACCCCGTACCTGTGCCTGCTCCTTGAAATATGTTTTGATTCACAATCTACACATTAAATCAATAACGAACAAAATTTTTAGGGACTCAGTTATATTTTTTAGGAATTAGTGTGAGGGACTGGGTTAAAAATGAATTAAGTTTGAAGGACTCAAAAAATTAATTTTTACTGTTTTTTTCCTCCTTTGAAACATATACCCACTGTGATCTCTTTTATAATGGACCAATAACTAATTATTAAGGATAAAAAATATAATTAAGATTAAGTGGGTAAATAAATATGCTGAAAATTAAAAAAATGTCTAAAATTTTAACCAATTTTATTCATTTTTGCCTCATTAGCTACCTTTTATATCACTCCATTAATTGTTATTTACCCGCTGACTTTATTTCTCCTCACAAGTAAGTGTATTTTAAAAATAAAACATATTTATTTATATACTTATTTGGTTGTTTGTTTCTTATATAAAAACCAGAGTCCAGACTCCAGATGGAATAACAATTGACCTCATTAATAAATACTCTTTTTTAATGAGGTTATAAAAGAAAAATTTTAATTGTTAACACTGGCAATAAGTTGTTTATTATAAATATGATAAAAAAATCCTTAAAAAAAATTCTATTTTTGAGTTATACAAAAAAAAAACCCCACCAAAAGGAGACGGGAAACACCAAGCTACATGCAAATAGAAAATATAATGTCGCGAAATAATAGTAATAATCAATAATTAGCAATTCAATAATTAATTATACAACATTTGCTAGCTCAAGGGAGTGAAGACAACAGTGATTGAAATTGGGTGAACAAGTCTGGCCCAAAAAAAAAGGGTGAACAGGAAGAAACACCAAAAACGGTCAGAACTGGGCTTGACGGGATGCTCTTCATTGCCGGCCTCATTCAACTGCACTTCTCAATTTTGAGTAATTCCAATTCCAATTTGGTGACGATGAGAGGCAGGGGCTCAAAAGGGAAAACAGAGGAGTTGGTTTATTTGATGAACTATGCATGCATGGAGGCTTATAAATATGAAGAGGTTGAGAAATGTGAGGAATTGAAAGAGACATTAGGTAACAATATATTTCCTCCTCCTTTTTTTTTTTTTGGGAATTACAATGGCAGACACTTACAATCTAAAGTTACAAGTTGCAACAAACCCGTGACATTTCGCTTACAAAGAAAAACTTACATATCACCAAGCTACTAAGCCATCACCACTGCAATATGTGTCGTTATTAGTTGGAAGAAGCAGAAGCAGAAGCAGCTTCGTCCGCAAGAGGAGGAGGTGGAGGAAGGGGTGGTGGATTCAGAAACTTGGTGGGAGGAATGATACAACATCTGCACAGTGGGCAAGTGGAGTGTGAATGGAGCCAATGGTAAATGCAATCTCTGTGAAACACATGCTTGCACTGAGGGATCTGTAATACGTCTTCTTTCATCTCAAATTCTCCCAGACACACACAACATCTGTTTCACCAAATTAGCTCACCTCAGAACAACATCATATGCAATCATTTAATCATTTACATTACATTACAAACACACACACCCAAATAACGTCTTCTTGTCCTCTTTTTTCATTGTTAATTTGTTTGTTTGGGAGGTTTTTCTAGGGTAAAGTAATATCCTGTGCCATAATGTTATCTCCTAATTGCATCCAATATTCTAATTTTATTTATGATGTATTTAATATTCTAATGTTATTGTTTGGTTGCACCCAACATCCCTTGATGTTATTTTTTGTTACATACAATACACTAATCTTATTTGTGATGCATACAATAACTTAGTGTTAATTTTTTTTGGTGCACCCATGATGTTATTTTTCTAGTCACGTCCAACACCCTAATTTTATTCTCGGTTTAAGGTGTTGGATAAACTAGAAGAAATAACATAAGAAAAGGATGTTTGATGCAACTAGAAAATAGCATTAGAGGGCTACATACCACCTCCGTTTATTAATATAAGAGTTAGTTTGACTTTTAATATGGTTTTAGATATAAGATCCTGATTTATTTTGTCTCTTATATTTATTTATTTATTCTCCTAAAGTACTTATTATAGTGGTTGCATATGTTAAATGTTTCATCAAATGCTCAAGATAGCACATTTAATTAGCAATAGTATTTTAAAGAAGATAGCATCTATTTATTACAAATAACTAACTTAACAAACTTCTTTTACTTATTTAAACTAGTTAACTGGCTCTTATATTAAAGACTGAAAGTAGTATTACTTTATTCATTTTTTTTTATATCCACAAGTTCTACGGAGGAGGATTCTTTATTCCACTTAGGTCACATTCAGACAGGTTGATCTTTTCTTTCGTCCGCTGAAACCCAAGAGATGTCATTGTTCATATATTCCACTTATCTTTTTTTTTAATTTCCTTTTGCTGTAGCTCTTTTTGTGAAAATAGTAGATGCCGTAAATGTGAGATTCTGATGGAAAAAGAAAATAAGAAAAAGAGAGAAAGAAATTGAGAATTCAATTGAAGATACTGTTAATTAATGTTTTCGCATCTTTCGAAGAGCAACGGTTCCTAATAACATCGATCGAACTAATCTCAAAGACATGTCTCCTCCATTAGACATCATATCAAGGGCTTTCAATCAATTCTATGCATGCGATAGGATATCACAAGAAGCATCTAGCTGGTGTTCATGCTGTTTTAGCGCCAATAGCAAAAGAAGAACAGGAATCTATCAAGGAAGATAAACAAAGAAAAGAGAAGAAAATGAAGATTGGAAACACTCACTGTGAATCTTTTTCTTTCAATTCTTCATCAAATAAAACTTTTGGAAGAGTGTCGAGGAACTGAAGCGTCAGATCCAAGCGACAAGGCTGCCAAAACAATATAGGGAGATTGAGGCACCAATATATGAATTGAAATCCCCAGAATTGAGTAAAGGCATATGTATAGAGATACAAATGATATAACAGAGAGAAAGAGGGATGAAGAGTGAGACTTACGGTGGAATGATAGGTAGTTGAAGGAGCAGTGGTAGGAAGAAAGTGAGGAGGGGAAGAGAGAGAGGAAGCTCTGCGCTTGAGGTAGAACAAATAAAACAAGAGAAAGAGAATGATGGAAAATAGGATTGGAATTGAGAAAATGAAGGCCTGATATAGTTTTAACTGAAGTTCTTGTGGATACAGATTTGGAGATGTGGTTGGAGTTTGAGGGACAGCCATTGTGATTCCTACTTCACTCACTTTACCTACTCAATACTCATCATCTTCCTCTTCATATATTCCGCTTCTGCTATTCTTGTTTCTCTGTCTTTTGACACAAAAAAATGCTGCGACGATTTCAGAAGAACGGCACAAGTTCATGTATCTAAAATCCTTGCTGGGATCAATTATTTAATTCAATGATGTAATTGCCTGCTGGTAGCAAGTAGAATAGTTTGATGGATGGTACAAATTCTGTTCTTTTTCAAATGATGGAACATGTTCATGACCCTCCACTTAGAAATGGACCCTCACCCCTCTTTGTATTTTAAGCCCAGTTGTCTTGATTCTATCACCAGGGGCCCAATTATTTCACCACATTCTCTCAGTGCTAACTGTCTCACAAAATCTTGCTTTCTGATTATTTATTATTATACAGATAAGAAAGGATACTATTAAAAATTCCGTATGTATCCCAAAAAAATCTTTGTTACTACTAATTTTTCCAAAAAAAAAAAAAATCATTGCTACTGCTAAAAGGGCGAGAGAGTGATTGTTGGGTACCATACACATCTAATTTTTTGTTTTGATTTCAGGGTATGCTTGTTTGTCAAACACGCCTGTCGTTATCATTATCGTACAAATTTAGTCCTCCAGCCCATAATTATAAGTGATCATATTACTTCTCCGATTATTAATATAAGACCTAATTATTGAGTTGATTTTGATCCTAAATATAAGACCCATTTATTATATTTATTAATTTTTTTTAAACTACCCATACGAACATTCTCTCAACCATAATTAAGTAAAAGATGGAGGGAGAATATTAAGAAAGATGATTATAGTGTTTTAGAAAAAACATGTCATATTTTTTATAATTAACTAATTTACCTAACTTCCTTAATCCAATCAAATTAATTAAATAAGTCTTATATTAATAACGGGAAGAGTATTTAATTAGTGATCTTATAAGACGATTAATTAGCGTGGACCATTACTGATTATAATAAACAAAGAACTTATCCTTCTCTCCCGCTTGGTGAGGAAGTGGAGAACAATAAGACATATTGCTCCAGTAACTTTGCACTGAAAAGTAGGCTTAGGATGCAGCATTAAACCTTACGTTTAATTGACAAGAGCTTTCTGTAACCCGAATAAAAGCTAACGAGCCCCCTTTCGCAATGTTTACTTGTTTGGGTTCCAGAAGAATAACCAAGAGGAAAACATAAGACAAAAATATCAGATCTCATCTTTCAGACTTTAGCTCCATGTTACATAAGGAATATAACCATGTTAACGAGATTAAAAACGATCTCAGAAAGTTCATCAAGTTGCATGGGGGATTTTCGAGAGAGATATAAAGTTGCTTGATGTGTGAACTTTCTCCTAAAAAAGAAAAGGCTTTCGGCTTCTTAATTGCTACAGAGATCTTTTTATATGATTTTACCTCGGGCCGCCTAATTCCAACTGAGGTAGTTACAAAATTGGTGCAACTTTTGCTTCCTCGACATCTTGTGAAGAATCAAGGTTGGACTTGGATATCTATCCTACTGTTGTTAGTGGATGCGGAAGCATCTCTCCCACGCGCGCACATACAAAGTGGGGTTGGGGATTGGGATCAGATCCAAAACTCCAACGTCACATCATACTTACAGCTATCTTATTTGTCACATTTATTTTATCAAAGTGCCCCAACTTTCACCGCACTTGCAATCCCCAGAAATAACAGCTTCCACATTTACATGTATCACATGTTGAATTGCTGATCGTAACTGCGAAACAAATAATGAGGTGGGACAATGCGTTCATACATTCAAAGGTAACAATCCCAGTTATGTGGATAATAGTATACAACGTGAAAAGCCAATGATTGTAAGGAAAAACCATTTTGGAGGCATCTATTATTTTTATCAATTTTTAATTTGATATTTAGATATTTTTCTCTCTTAATTAAATACCGTAATTTTACTTTATTAACATAATTAACTTTTATAATTAACAGTACAAATAGAGCGATGTTAACAGATTAAAATTAGCATATTTAATTAAGGAAAAAAATACAAAGATACCGAGTTAAAAATTGATGACGTGATTTTATTTTTCTGAATTTTAATTTCTCATCGAATATCCTCAAGAAAGTTAATGGGCATACGTTCTGTGAAGATGGGTAAAAATCAGATGCCATCCTACCTTGCATGTGTTATGTTAGCCTCATCCTTGTTATGACCTCAGAATAACTCCCATCATTAAGTGTTTTAGCATCACTTATTGGTACATTTGTAAAGAGTGGCACAAAATGTAATTATATTATATTAAAAACCCAATTTTTCCTCTTGTTTCATCTTTTATAAAATGTAACTTTGTACGATATCAGGCTTCCACCCAAACAGAGAGTGATGCGTCTTATATTTAACCATAATCGCACAGAACCATATTCCCACGAAGTGTCAAAAGCAGCATCTCTCCAATATATTCATAAAAGGCATCTGAAATGGACGGTCCATATTACAATCAAGTACAAGTGAAGGGCATAATTAAATATAATCAGAATCATATTTTGTTTGGTCTCTCCTATGCCCTTAATTCTTGTTATTTGGGCCCTATCGTTTCCAGTAATCACTCATGCTCAGCTTCTATATCAACGGGAAATAGCTCAAATAATGTGAGTTCATTTTCCCAAAGATGACGAAACATCAGGTACAGTTTAAGCTGCTTAGGGTGTGTTTAGATGAAACCAAACCATAGTTTGGAAAATAACTTCTGGAAAATAGATTCTAAAAAAAATAAATTTTGAAAAGAATAGATTTTGTAAAAAAATGATTTTGAAAAATGTGAGTATTTAGATAGTTGTTATTAGAAGTACTTTTTATATATACAAATTGGCATAAATTAATATGATAATTATAGAAAAAATATATTTTATGATATATTTTAATTTGAAGGAATAAAATTGTTAATAATATATTTTTTATTAACATATATTAATAATATATAAGATAATATAATTAATAAATAATTAATATGTATATATTTATAAGATATAAAATTAAATATGTTTATAAAAAAAACAACAAGATACATATCCTATAGGTTCTCATACTCTCTCTTTTTTCTCCAAAAGTAAAAAATTTCTGCTTTTTCCAAAACCATGGTTTTGGAATCAAAACCATAATTTTAAACCCAAACCATGGTTTTGATTTTTTTAAGGGTGTTTGACTAACATTTTTCTCAAACCATGGTTTGAGTCCCAAAACCATGATTTGAGGTGCTTGCCAAACACACCCTAATGGGAACGAGATTGAAGTCGCGATTTACCAGGCATAAAAATATTCATTTTATTTCCATTCTCAGTCTCTTTTAAAACACATCACATGCACAATTATTACTAGATTCAATTAGTTATATTTATTTTCCAGTCCCAAAAAAAAAAGTTAAATTTATTTCCTTTTGCTAAGCTTCACAAATATTTGTTTGCCTACTAAATCGCATGATAATTCAAGATTTCGGTGTCCTTCACTACATTTCCAATTTAAAAATGATTGGGCAAGTGTTTTCGCATCAAACGACTGCAAGCAAGAGAGTAAATAGAATGGTCTTGGATTTGGCAACAAGAAAATAACACAAACACTTAAAATTCCAATGCATTACCTGTCAAAACCCAAGGCCAAAGCTTGGGCAATCATTCATATCCGTTGTACGCGAGAACTCATCACTCTTACCTTTGCTGGTAACAGAACAAGATGAATTAGCACCCGAACTTGACTTGGAAAAATCAAAGACTGCCTCACTTGTATTTGTCTGGGCTTCCTTGCATGGTTCGGGCTACAAAAAAATTGCAAACGAAACACATCAATTCAACTATTGAAGATAACCGAAGGCTCATCCCTATATAAAACAAAAATTCTTCACCTAAACTTTTTTTGGGCTTCTCATGGAAACCTATTTCAAAACACGGAAAAGAAAACTTGGAAAATACAACCTATCATGTTGACTTTTGAGTATGCTTGAACATTCTGTGATCTAGATATCAAAATTTCTCAACCATGTGATCTCTATTCCGCCATAGGGCTCAGCTATGGGATAAATGACGCAGTGGCACTTGGGGTAATAATAAATAAATTTGAAACTAGACCTGGTGGGAATTTCCGATGTTATCGGTGAATTGCAAACTGACACCACCACTTGCTGCTGCAGAATCTACTTTACGCAGAATCAACAAATAGCCATGAGCATCTTAAAAAAGTTTCAAGATATCTTGTCTTAAAGATCACAGAATTAGTATGCTGGAAATTCACAAACTCCATCTTCACTTGCCTTTGGAAGACTTCACAGTCTCAATGGATTCCCTATCTCGAAAATTTTCAGATGAATTGTGACTGGGTGCCGAGGCAATTGTTGGTCCACTACCTACAATAACCCAATGTCATTGTATTATTTTCGCCGTTTAAAAGAAATAGTTGCATTATCATGATCCTTATGGCTTGTAGGTAGCTCGTTCGCTGGTCGTGTTTCCTGTCTAACCTGTAATTTTGCTCTTCGGAGCCAGACGGTTTTGTAGAAGAGACAGTATTTGATGGGCTGCCGAAGTAGCAGAAATCAATCACATGTAAGTATAATAAAGCAACGAATAAGAGCAGAGCCGGTCAATAAGACGAAAAAGAGATTCTTGTGACATCAAAGGCATGTCAAGCCTACATCTAAGATACATGCTCCAATTTCATTCAAGGTCAAGCAGTTTTTGCTGAATGATAAATCCCTTTCCTAATTTTATACAAGTCAGTGAACCTCTGTCTATCATGTCACAGTTGAAAGAACAAAACCCCGGAAATATCTTCTTGTTTTTTTTGGCCCTTTTTGGTCGCTAGAATTTGAACCCATGCCCATGCAATGAACCACAAAGACACAGGTCGGCTGTTACCCCCGGCATATCTTTGAAATAACAATGTCAAACAATAAAGCATGAACAAACCAAGTCTATCTGGAAGCTACATCATGATTTGAAATCAGGAACCTACATGATTCTAAGACACATTCAATCAAGCATAGAGAAAACACATACAAATAAAGGATCTATGATAAGATAATTAAATACGAAAAAAAGAGAAGAATGTCACACAATTAAAAGCAGAATGACGAGACAATACGCACTGTCACGTAAAGGCTTGATTGGTGGGACTATCCTGCTTGATTCGATCACGTCTGACCCAGAGCAGAGGGAGTTCGCATTTGCTTCTTTTGCTAAATAAGCTTTACTGTTAGGCTCCACTGCCGAGTAAGGCCAAAGAACATAAAAGGGAAAAATATAAAAACCTTAGCACAAAACAAGACCACTAAAAATATGAGAAAAAATTAAGTCAAATGCTGACCTTTGACGACAACTGGGTTGGCCTTTAGACAGCCGTTTTGTTCATGTCTTTGTTTCCTCTGACCAAAATTATCCCCAGTTCCTTTCTCATCAGAATTCACTGGACATTGATGGCTTTCTCTGGGATCTCCTACATCGACAAGATGGCCATCGAAGTATATTGATTCACCAGGCCTTATAACTTCATCTTTCTTCAAGAACCGGCGCTCTATTGGTGTTTTGTTCAAATCACACAGGACAACCTGAAAAGAAGTGAGCATCAAACGAATCAAGATTAATAGTATCCTGGTGTTCAGTCCACTAATCCAAAAAAGCTGTAGAATTTATGGTTGACGATTCAATATTGAAATTAAACAGGAAGCAAAACAAATTGACAACATATGAAGACACTGATGGGTTGGAGAAAAGGAAGGACAATTTAAAGAGACCAAGCAGAAACCTATAAGAAGAGTTAAAACTAACCTGTCTCCCCCGAGATCCAAAAATTTCAAGTTGCAAAAAACCATCGTGGTAAGTCTTGGATTTTTTATTGGACCTCGTTGAATATAACACCAGCCACTCTAAATTGAAAATTAAAGAGATATTTGAGGGGCCTTTAAACGAAGAGGGGAAAATGAAAATTAAAAAATGGAGAATATAATTATAAACATAACCGCAGGCAGCCTACTCCAGAGAAATTGACGAATATAAACCACAAAGGAAGCAATTATAACACAAACAAGAAGGAAAAGGTTCTCCAATCGACACATCACTTTCAGCGGATTGATATGAGATTAAATGTAACCCAGGCAAACATATGTTGATGGGTACAGTGTACAACAGCGCAATAAAACTTAGAGCTTTAAACATCTTATGATTGCAATCTATGTCTTACTTCAAACTGAAAACAGAGTTTACATTCAACTCTCCTTGGTAATTTTTATTCAAAAGTCAGCAAATACAATATTACTAATAGCATTCTGTAGAGAGATGATCAAACTTCAATTGTAAAATCAGGTGTACTAAAAGGACTAAAAGAACGTTTTTGTAAATAGAATTAAAATAGAATATTCTCTCATTTAAATCTCCTGTGTTTGATCACCAGTAAATAGAGTAATTACGAACCACAGACAAGCATACCCTGCTCCCCACACCGCTTTTAATATTCCTTCCTTCCTTGAGCAGGTTATAGCCTTCCTCTCACGTAAGACAAACCGAAAAGCTTGAGCTAGCAAGTACAGTTACAAAGTAAAGCTCACACACAAAAAGGAATGCAAAAAATAATTATATCAGAAGCCATCAGCATGAGAATAGGTAATGCAGTTTATAGTCTAAGACATTAAGAATCGATTGGGAAGGTAAAAGGCAAACTATATCCGTAAATATTATGAAAGGGAAAAAGAAATCAGAAATCAGAAAAAATAGTACACCATGGAGTAGCCAGCTAAAAAATTTCCCAGATCAAGTCAACTAACCGCTTTTTCTTGCAGTTACATTGGTGTAATGACAAGATTGCTGCCGGTGCATCTTCCTGATTTCCTCAGCATCTGTGCTTTTTTCACCTTGATCATTGGATTCTGGTTCATGATTTCCTTGATTATCACCAATGTCAACCAAATATGCATCAAATGCAAGTGATTCGCCTGGTTTAATTATGTCATCTTTCTTGAGGAATTTGCTATCTAGAAGTTTCTTGCTTGCATCAAACAGCATTACCTGAGATATAAACAAAAAAGGGGAATGCGAGCATTCATTATGCTGAATATCCAATTTTGGCTGCAACTATGTATGTGATTATATCGGACTTTTGATCATAATATTGGAGTTGGCGAGGGAGCGGACGAGATAACGAAATTATAAAATAATGCATTTACTAAATGCCCTCCCTCACCAGCCATCTACTTGGGTCAGAAGAAAGCTTTTTTTTTTTTTTGGATTGTAAGAAGGCATTACTTTTAGAGAAGGATATATGTGTAGAAGTGAACCTGTCTACTATTGGATCCAGAAACCACAAGTTTCAGAAAACCATCGTGGTACTTCTTTGCCTTTTGAGTCACTTGTGTAGTGTACAAAACCTGCCACTCTAATTAGAAAATTGAAAGCGTGGAAGTGTTAAACAATTAGCCGATAAAATTGTCACGAAAATGGAACAAGAGATCAAATGATTTCCTAAAAGGAGATTGAGAGTTATTTGCACCGAAAAAAAAAAAAGTCTTATAATTAGCTGTCGATTTATTTGTATTTAAACTTTAAAAGGTGAGAGTAGAGTGGAATTTATTCAGCTTAGTTCTGACCCGTTATTTTGAGACATGGTAAGACACTATAAAGAAAGCAAAGTAGATGCTGGCCAAAAAAAAAAGAAAGAAAGAAAGAAAGAAAGCAAAGTATATAAGCAAATAGAACATGTGTTTGCATTGAGAGACTAACCTGATGTGTTGGGTTTTGTTGTTTCCGGACTGATCTTTGGTGATCCATACTTAAGAAGCTCTCTCTTCTTAAACTCTGCAATTTTAACAATTATTATGCATATACCACTATGCTGCGGTAAGAATTCATAAAGTAACTACTGCTAGTTTACCATCACAGTTACTTGTGGCAAACAACTGCATAAGCACGAGTTTTTACAAAGAATGAGTTAATATGTAAAAATAAGTACACTAATCCAAGAGAAGCAAGTGCCTATAGAGCATGCTGCATTTGATAGGAATAGTCAGTTTTGGCCATTTCAACCCATCACAAAAGTCCCAAGCCAATGTGCAAGTGGATCTTGTGCGTGCGTGTGTGAGTGCATGGAAATATAGAATAAGCAAATAAGACCTCTAAGCACTTCCGAAGAAATTCTGAGAAGCAAAAACAAATGGACCACCAAAGAGAAGTTGTATGAATCAGGTTATGAAAGCAAGTCAACCTTTAATAATCTTTTGTGATGGGCTGAGAGCATGATGTGCTTTGCTCTCCTTTACATTAGTTTTGCTGTCGCCTATAGCATAAAACGATAAACAAGTGATTGAATGGAAAAATAAATGAAGAAGGCAGAAGTTAAAATGTTGATATTTCCAAAACAGAACAATGCGACAAATCTTTTATTCCCCTTTGTAATTAGTGATATAAATTTTTTAAGAAAGACCAGACAGCTTTTACCTGCTGAAGTCCTAATGTTTGACCCATTCAACCTATTAAATCCCCGTGCAATATTCTTATGTGCTTTATCAACATTTGAATCAGAAATAGGGTTATTATCTCCCTCAGGATCACCGATGTCAACAAGGTAGCCATTGAACACCAGAGTTTCACCAGACGTGACAGTTTCATCGCTCTTCAATAGCCTACATTCCAAGAGATTGTCGCACTCATCATAAAGCATAACCTGCATATAGATTCAGTTACTCGAAACTCATCAAATTCTGCATAAGAGTAGTAACAATGAGAAGGGCTCCAAAAAGCATTGGAAATCGAAATATAAAATATGGTTAAAAAAAATAGAGGTAATAAGTGTAGGTAGAAAATGCCGTCATCGTTCGTCCAATCCAGGACGTAATTGAAGACATGGTAGAAATCGTAGTTAGAATACCTTGTTAGTTGAACTCTCGAGTTCTAGAAAACCATCTTGGTACTTTTTGCGTTTTTGCTTGATGTGCTTCGTATAGGTCACAGTCCATCGTTTCACATTCCCCATCTTTTACGATACTTCTGCACCTAATGATCAAGATTTGGAAATTTGAAGGCATAAAGCTTCTTCGCGCGCGGAGGAAGACCGCAGGAGGCGGGAAGATTAAAGTCGTGTTTGAGGGCCAGTTTGAGTGTGTAGAATTCTGTAGCAGACGACGCCGTTTCGGTGATTTATTTTTCCTTGGCGATTAAATTGTCACAAAAGCATCCATTAAAAAAAATCAATTATGTCACCAAAAAAAAGTTCACTGTTAAGAAAATAATAAAGAGTAATCGATTAATTTGAGTAGATTGAGAAAATTAGTTAAACTAGTCATTTATAATAAATAAGTATTATTTTTTTAAAAATATCGTATTAATCAAATGTATTTAGTAGAACTATTATTTGACAAAATTTTTAACATGTGTAACTATTACAATGATTATATTAAAAATGAATAAATAAATATGAGAAACAAAGGAAATTGAGTTATTGTAAAACTGAATATAAAACTAGCTATCGTATTATGTTAGGGAGATTTTTTTTTTTTTGCCAAGGCATGGGTAGGGCTGCACATGGACAGAGCTGGACAGGGCAGGACTCTTGCCCAATGCGCATCCCGAAAAATAAATGGGCTGAAAAATGCAACCCATTGCCCAGCCCTATCCATGAAAAGCCCTAATAAGTTTGGGCGGAGTAAATGCGTGCTGGGTAGGACAGGCTTTCATGCCCAACAAGTCAATATACTACTCCCTCCGTTCCTTATTATAAGAGACGAATAACCGAATTACGTTGATAAAAAAAATAGTTAAAATTAGTTAAGAACAATCAATGTGTAAAAAGTATAATTTTTTTCAAAAATACCCTCATTAATAAGGAGATAAAGCATGAGAGAGAACAACGGTAAATTATTAAAAGAAAGAGAAGTGGGAAGGAGAGAGTGTGTGAGTTGGAGACAATAAATATGGGTAAAATAGGAAATCAATACAAAAAAGTAGAGATAACTTTTAAGTGTCTCTTATATATAGGAACATGCCATAAACATCAAATGTCTCTTATAATAAGGAACGGGGGGAGTATATCAATGAACTAATTATTTATGTCCCTCTAAATAATCTAATATAACTTTATGTTAAAATGACAATTTGGCTCTAATTTAGTTATTACTGATTAATACACTATGAAGCTACATTTTATAATGGCTGAGAGGAGTGGACTATGACAAAAAAAATATATTATTAGTATATTTTATTAAACTTAATTGTTTTTCTAGTTTTTAAAATTTCTTAACCAAATACTAATTTTTTCCCCATAACTCCCAAATATTCATGAGAGGATGGAATCAGTTATATTTAAAAAAATATTTGTTTTGGTTTAATAAATTTTTAAAGTATCTTGATCGGCTTTTAATCTTAACCAAACAAAGATACGGCAGTTTTAGAAAAAGAAGAAGCAAGAAGAAGCAAAAAAAATTTCAAAAATAACTTGATAATCCTTTCATAGGCCATCAAAGTTATGTTCAAAATAAATGATATATACTACTAAAAAAACAAATGATATATAATTACTTATCTGCCAATATACAAATTGCTAATAGTCATAATGTTCGCATTAAAAAAAAAAAAGATTGTCATACATATCACAACAAATGAGAAGACGTCTAACTTTCAAAATCGTTCAAAAATAAATAAGTTTAATAAACACTGATGCAACAATAGGTTTAATTCAAGAGATAAATGAGACTAATGAAATATGTATAAATAAAATTATATATATTTTTGCAGGCATGGCAGCATACCATGCCCGGTGCCTGGCCCTGCCGAACAATCTGCCCAACCCAAACATGCCTTTTGAGCCATTTTTTTAAGGGCGGACTGGGTATTTTTTTTACGGGTATTGCGGGCAACCAGGCTTTATGAACACCCCTAAGCATAGGTATCCTCTTGTTGGAAGCAATCTTATTCGAGGTATCATCGAGTACTAAATGTGGACATTTCTTTTAACACAGATTCGAACCTTAATCCGTCATGTTGTGAAAGATTAACCGTTTTCGCTAGACTCAAGGAGTTGAAGTGCTAGTTCAAAATCATTTTCTTTTTTGGGCCAGAATTGTTGCCTCAGATCCAATCCACTGCAGCAACCCAATTACCCAATCGAGCCCAACTGATCATGAACAAATAATCCATGATATTGCTCGAGCTCAATTTAAAAAAATAATTACCCAGTAAGAAATTTTCGGTCCACGAACCAGTACTGGAAGTTCCGGCATTTCTCCTTCCTTCGGTTCCCAGCCAAGCATCTCCAGTCTAGGGACACCGGCCACAAGCAGCCTACGGCACACCCACTAGATCGACGGACCCTGCGGCACAACGGCAGAGTTCAGGCGGCGGCTCCTTCGTCCTCCATCGGTTGAGTTTCTGGTTAGTCACCTAACACCTTTAAAATTCTAGAATCATTCAACAAACGGGAATTTACATGAGGTGCAGAAATATTAAGCAAAGTGGGAACAAGGGGATCGCTCTCTTAAATTACATTCTCATGCTTCTCTTCTTCTGAATTCAGTGGTAGGGGCCTGTGCCCTTGCCTGTCGGCAGGGAATTATATTTTCCCTGATCCGTGTGTTGAGGCGAAAGGAATCTGTCCTAACTCATAAGCCTATAGAACTAATCCTACGATTCCCTTAATAATAAAAAGTTCAACTTTTAATTAATTTCTTCTGGTTTTTTCCCGACCGTTCCTGCAGATCCAGTGGGAGATAATAGGCGGTATTGAAGGAAGCATCAGATCAATTTTAAATCCACCTTCTCAGGCATGGTAATGCCACTTCTAACTTACACTGTCTCATTTTGTTTTCAATTTCGTATGATTCAATCTGTGGCTGGCATTTACAAGTTCATTTTTTTTTCCTTCGTTTTAACGGTCTCAGTCAGCTCTTTTTAATTTCCACTCCTTTCTGACGGTGGTACTATTGGTGATTTGTACGTGCACGTTTCTAAAGATGCAGTTTCCCACCATACTTGAACAGAAAACTGGGTATGCTTTCTTTTTCTCTCGTTTGTATGCTTTCATTGACCCGTTGCCAATTTCAACTTTTCCGGAGATGTGCCACTAAATCATCATCATCAATATATCATCTTATCAATAATTCAATATACTTATATAATTCATAGAGAGACACTCTTCATAAGATTTGAATAATGTGACTCATTTTTCAAACATTCAGTTGCATTAAATTATTTACTACACTTGGTTGAATGTAGTTTCCATCCTTTAAATTTCCAGTGTAACTCTATTGGAGTTTCTAACCTTCTAGGGGTGGGCAATGGCTTGATTGGTCCAGTCTTGGTTCCATCACCAAGCAAATTCTTCTAGTTGAATGGCTTGAATTATCATACTGAAAGTAATCTATTCATCTTGTTTGAAATTGAACTAATCAATTTAGCCTATATCAGTTTGAATGGATGGGTGGCCTTTAAAGGGAAAAAATCCAATTAAACTTAATTGCAAATAAAAGCAAGGGAACATAGGAATTTTAACCATCTTGTTAAATAAAAACAAGGAGAGGGGGTTTTCAAGGTGTGAAAAATGTGTCACTTGTACAGACTAAATTTACTTCCGTTGGATCATTCTACCTGAAGATCAACCAGATGTTCATCCAAATAGATACTAAAACAAAGTCATACTCCATTCTCCTCATGCTCACAGCCACATGATGAAGTTAAAGGGAGAGGAATGAATGGATTCTAGGATTTAACCCTTCCCCTTCCTTGGGGATTTTGACTTCGGATGGAGTTTTCTCCTGTTATTTTGTTTGCCATAATCAATCTTAGTCCATCTGAATAGGATGTCTGTTCTATGAAGGAGAGAGAGTTATCATGTGAGGGAATTTTTCTCAATAGTGCAACAGCAGGAATAAAGCAGGAGGTGAATAAATGAAATTAATACCTTAAATTCTTGAGAAATGCTTGAGATCAAATGTCAGAAACACTTGAGTGCAAGAAAAGAATGATGCAAGTTGCTAGAGACAACAAGACTAGTGAGCTATGGTGGATGACATAGGTGACAGAGTGAGGATGGTGCTAGTAAGAAGAGAGGAATCTTGAGAAAGGCTCCATAATCGCAGGATTTGAGGAATATAGTTCATTGGCTTAGGTATACAACAACAACAACAACAACAAGCCTTATCCCACTAGGTGGGGTCGGTTACATGAATCACACGACGTCATCGTGCTCTGTCAACAACCCAATCCTTAGATATGTTATTGACTAGGAGGTCTCTTTCAATGACCTCATTCAACGTTCTTCTCGGTCTTCTCCTACCTCTTTTTATGGGACTCCATCTTATTTGATCCACCCTCCTCACCGGGGCCTCCAAAGGCCTTCTCTGCACATGTCCAAACCATCTTAAGCGATTTTCAACCATTTTCTCTTGGATAGGTGCCACACCAACTCTTGTCCTGATCTTTTCATTTCGAATCCTATCTTTTCTTGTATGACCACACATCCATCTCAACATCCTCATTTCTGCTACTCCAACTTTGTGCTCTTGTTTTCCCTTTATTGCCCAACATTCACTACCATACATCATAGCTGGTTTTATAACAGTCCGATAAAATTTTCCTTTAAGTTTCTCAGGTACCTTTTTATCACAAATAACTCATTGGCTTAGGTATGCAAGGCTAGTAAATACATAAATTATAAATGTAATGTGAGATTAAAGGAGTTCCACTCGAGTGCAGTGGAGTCAGATTTTCTCATACAAAGCATCAACCAAAGTCATCAGGTAAGACTCATACACTGCAGCAATGGTTAAGGTCCTACAACACTTTGATTGCCACCGCCCATGCATGCAGCACTGCCATTCTTTATCTCTAAAGGATCCAAAAATCAAGCACTGCAGTCGACTGATCCCTCTATTGAGTAGAGGGAGCGACAAGTGAACATTGACCCAATACATGAAGAAAAGAGAAATGGGGGGGGGGATGGGGACAAGTCACATGAGAAATCATGCAAGAGCTAGACGAACA